TTCTGTGACTACACAGTCTTTTCCCTCTTTTTGTTTGTAGTTGTCCTCACTTGCCAATTGATGTCTCTGGTTCCCTGTTTACAATCTTGAAAGCTGTGATGAACATGAGTGTGCATGTATCTGTTCCTGTCCTGGCTCTCACTGCTCTAGGATATATATCTAGTAATGGGATTGCTGGGTTAAATGGTATCTCCAATTCCTGCTTTCTAAGGAATTGCCATACTGCTTTCCACAGTGGTTGTATCACTTCGCACTCCTACCAGCAGTGTATCATTTTTCATTATTGCAAATTTCACTTTATTTTTCAAAGCAAGTTAAATAATTATTTACCTGAGAAAATGAGCAGTTTTTTTTTTTTTTTTTTTCTGGTACTATTACAAACTCCAGACAAATCATTTAAAAAAAAATTGTAGTGTTCTAATGTTATCTAAAGACTGACAGGTCCCTGCAGGAGATCCTGAATAGAATGGTAAAACAATGTGGAACAAAAGTCAAAATCATAAAAAAAAATGGCTGGGTTTCCTTGTCTGGGAGAGACTGGTGAGACCCGTGAAACTATGGCCCCTAGTTACTCTTTGTGTCTGGAATTGAACTCACTCCTGTGGCTCAAACTACTGAGTTATCATAACAGTGCTTTGAATGTTCAAGGATTAGTTGGTACTAAGACCCACTCTGATAGCACAGAAGCAAACAGACAAAAAAAGATATAATTCTGTATCTATATGTAATACTATCTGGTATTTATTTGCATGAACTATAGTTTTGAGATTGCAGAGTCTTTAACTTCTAACATAGAGCAAGATAGGGAGAGAGAACTAGAAATGCCTGAATGACATGACTTGCATCTGCTTTACACTGCATAAATACTTACCTCAAATTTCTTCTTTTCATCTTTCATAAAATTCCCAGAGGAAAATGTCAGCGGGAAATCATTCCACAGTGACCGAGTTCATCCTCACTGGGCTAACAGACAATCCAGAACTCCAGCTGCCCCTCTTTCTTTTCTTCCTAGCAATCTATGTGGTCACAGTGGTGGGGAACATAGGCATGATCACCCTGCTTGGGCTCAGTTCTTACCTCCACAACCCCATGTACTATTTTCTCAGCAGTTTATCCTTCATTGATCTCTGCCATTCCACTGTCATTACTCCCAAAATGCTGGTGAACTTTGTAGCAGAGAAGAAGACCATCTCCTACCCTGAATGCATGATTCAGCTCTTCTTCCTTATTTTTGTTATATCAGAATGTCATATGTTGGCTGTGATGGCATATGATCGCTATGTTGCCATCTGTAATCCATTGCTTTACAATATCACCATGTCTTATTAGGTGTGCTACTGGTTGGTAGTTGAGGTATATATGATGGGTTTGATAGGTGCCACTTCTCACACAGGATGCATGCTAAGAGTGGTTTTCTGCAAGGCTAACATAATCAACCATTTCTTCTGTGATCTTTTTCCACTACTGAAGCTCTCCTGCTCCAGCACTTATGTCAATGAAGTGGTAGTTTTGTGCTTCAGTGCATTTAATATTCTTCTACCAACCCTGGTTATCCTTGGCTCCTATGTCTTCATCATTGCCAGTATCCTGAAAATGCACTCAGCTGAGGGAAGGTCCAAAGCCTTTAGCACTTGCAGCTCCCACATTTCAGCTGTCACAATATTTTATGGTTCTTTAACATTTATGTACCTGCAACCATCAAATGTCAGCTCCATGAACCGAGGCAAAGTGTTATCTGTGTTTTATACTACTGTTGTGCCGATGCTGAACCCCATGATCTACAGTCTAAGGAATAAGGATGTCAAATATGCTCTGAAAAAAATTCTAGAAAGTAGAGTTCATAAGTAGAATCAATTTATATAATTTCCTACTAGATTCAAATATTTAGTTTGTTGAGATATATAATTCAGTTCATTCTTGAAGTTTGTGGGTTCATTGACACTTCCTTCCCCTATTTAACACATGAAATTTTAGACAAAATTTCCCTTTAAGCCACCTCTTTCTTCAAGCCTCTATGTACACTGACTGTATAGAGAGAAATACAGAGAATAAAATCCAAGGCTGTTTAGAATGACAGCAAATACAGTTTCACTTTTTAATAATACAATCAAAACAGGAACAATGGTGATAATGATAATGATGATGTGAGTGACATACATTATTGGGATTTTACAAAATTTCAAACCTTGTAACAAATATGTTTAAATTTATCACTTTATTTAATAATTAAAATATTTCTCAGGGGTAGTATTGTAACATTCCTCTTTCAAAGATGAAGAAATTGCATCTTACAGAGTTTGTATAACATGTTTGGAGTCTTAGAAAATAAGCAATTAAGCTTGGAAACAAACCTGAGAAGCTTGACTCCCAGATTCATGATTTTGGAAATAGAAGGGCTGTGTATGGACAGGTAGACAGCTCAGGGGCAGGAGTACATGGGAGGCAAGGACACAGGAAAGAGGTGGCTATGGGGAGGAAATGGGATGGGAGCTGTTACATTGTGGGAGATTGCAGTCAATGTCATGAGACAAAGTGTAAGTGAACTGCTGTATAGAGGATGAATTTGCTCTAAGCTTTCACCTAAATCACAATAAATAAGAAAGTAAGTAAATGAATAAATAAATAACCTTTCAGAGGAAAAAAAAAAGTAACAGCCTGAGGGCAACTGTCAACAATTCTTTTTAATTCAACACTGATCACAACATCACTATGCAATGAGGAAAGTGGAAAAACCATTTTGATGGAGAGTTTCTGTGGTAGTTAAGGTTATGTGTCAAGTTGGCTGGGCCTGGTTTTGAGTGGCTGGCCAGCTGGATGTAGTTATTTCCCATGATAAGACTGGTAATCAACTCTATGGTGGAATATACCGTGAGCACCTGAGTAGCTGTCTTAGGGATGTGTGCTGCTTCCAGGATGTAAGAAGCAGCTTTTAGAAAGGTCTCTGAGCTTTTTGGCACATCTGAATCCTCCATTTGGTCAATTCTTCTTCAGTGGCCTGACATTTTATCTGCCAATCTTGAGACTGTTTCTGGACTTGAACTAGTGGCCTGCTGTGTTGCTTCATAATCTTGGGACTGTGCCATTTTACTTTTCAGCCTCGAGTTTGTCAGCCTCAGCAGCTAACAGCTACCTAAGTTAAGACACGCTTTCAACTCCAGTGGTCTGGGAGCAAGAGACAGAGCTGAAGCCCAAAGTTGAGGGGTTTTCATCCATCCCCTAAAGCTGGCACTGTGAATGCGAATTTCTAATTTCCTAAGCTGTAAGAGAATAAATTCCTATAGAAAATAAAAATAAAAGATCCATGATTTTATTCAAAATGCTACTCAGATCAAAAGTAACTGTATAAGGTCTGTTGTTGTTATGTGCTGTCGAGTCAAACCCAACTCATAGCGACCCCTCCTTGAGTTTCCAAGGCAGTATCACTACGGAAGTAGGATTGCCCAACCTTCCTTCTGAGGAGTGGCTGGTGGGTTTGAACCGCCAGCCGTCTGGTTAGCAGGCAAGTGTCTTAGCCACTATGCTACCAGAGCTCCTGTATAAGGTCTAAGTGCACCCAAAGGAGTCTGCGTACACTAGGCATCAGTAGTTCCCTATATGTTTTATTATTGTCTTCTGAATATATTCCATTATAATTTCACTTTTTATGACACAATCAAAGTAATGAAAATCCTTCAGATCTGTGTAAGCAAAGCAAAATGGAGCATAACTAGAAACTTTTTCATTAATGCAACTCTGATTATTATAAATCATATCAACTATTTGTATAAAAGTAGCCCAAATAAAATTATTTTATCATTATATCATTAATGATGTGGTTGTTTATGATTCAACTTCTCATAGAGCATAAAAATCTGGCTACATTACATCACTTCCATGCTTTTCATTTTATTTTGTCTCATAATTTTTGAACAGTCACCCTTTCATATAAATTTTATCTTGAAAACATTTCTTCTCTCCCCTCATTTTATTGCTTTTCTGCTTCAGGGTATTATCATCTTCTAACTGTGACTTCATATGATAATTTAAATACTCAATTACCTCCTTATGTCTCTCCCCTATTCAAACAATCCTGCTCATTATTGACAGATCAAAATTCTGTGTATGGTCTTCTGCTTTACTCATTTATTAATCTGATGTAATGACTTGAATAATTTACCAATTATAGGAGAGACATATATATATTATGTCTTTAACACTCCTTAGCATTCTGCTTTCTATCATCCATTTATTCATTGTGGTAAGTCATTCATTCTTGAAGAACCCTTCTACAGTATTTATTATTTGACCTAATTCTCATCAACCATATATGTAAGAGAAATGGCCACAATTACAACAGTCTTAAGCCTGCTTCCTGGTCTCAAGCTCAATGCTGCAGGATGAAATATAAACAAATAAACTAGAAATGGACAAGAAAATATAATCCTGTTGTGTAGGCCCCTGAAGGACTAGGGCTTGATCTCATGTAGAAAATATAAGCTAAATGAAAAGAAAGGAATTATAAAAAATGATAGGAAAAGCCTGTGCAGATCAAAAAATGTATGTCTTATTTATGATAATACAATCAAGCTGCACACTGAACTCAAGACAATTTAGCAGGAAGCAAGGATAGTAGAGTAGGCAGAAGAAGGTACCTGAGCATCACTGTATTAGTATACTAATTCGTTCTCTGTTTTTCATAGGTTATTACAGCTTCTAAGTTTTTGAAGCAGGGAGGGACCATAGTTAGTGTACATGTTAGTAGTATCATATTTAAATTGTTATGGAAGATGGAAGGAAAGATAATGAGACTAAATTCAGGAGAATAGTCAGCAGTCAGTTTTGTTATTCCAAGAAATGTGTTACATATCTTTCTAGTGGAACTGGAAAGAAAGGATACTTTCAAGATATTTTTGAAAAGTTGTTGAGATTCTGGTAGCATAGTGCCTAAGGTATCTGACTGCTAATCAGAAGGCCTTCTGATTCCTCAGAAGGAAGGTTGGGCAATCTATTTCCATAGTAATACTGCCTCAGAAACCCAAGGAGGGGTTGCTGTGAGTCGGGTCCGATTCCAAGGCACATAACAACAACAACAAAAATGAGTTAAAGGTAAAGTAAAGGATGAGCAGAAATTTGTAGCTTAGGTTATTAAATAAATGAATGGTAGAACTCTTAAAATGGAGCTACTAAGTCTAAAAAAGAATTCACAGTAAACAATTGGATCTCTTGGTATTCTTTCTTTCTCTGTATCTGTCTGTATCTCTGTATCTCACTCTGTGTGTCTCAATTCTCTCCTCTCTCTCCCAAATATATATTTACTGTGCTACATGAGAGTAAATAAGCTGATAATCTGAAAAAATTGGAAGAATGGCTTTTTTGAGTCTCTGAGAACTTTTTATTATTGTACAACCATCCATGAAAAAGACCTGTTTATATGCTTCCTTTTTTTTTTTTAATTAAATCTTCCACTTATCTTTTTCTCTACTTTTAATCAGCACACTGAAGTAACAGTCAGCCATAGACTGCTTGCCTGTGTGGCAGCAAACCTGGCATGCATACTCTCCTTTGATATCTTAGAATCTTCAGCTGACTAGAATTCTAAAGCAAAAAGAAGTTTTCTAATGTCTTAGCATGGGAGAGAACTTGATTGAATTTGAAATAATTAAAATGGAAGAGAGTTAAAATATCATCTGATACTTTGATTCAAAACAAGTCATCCATTGGTAAACCCAGAGAGTATTAAAAACATACATAAATACTAAATCAAAATTTCCTTTTTAGCAAGTACTCCAGTTGATTCCTGTGCACATTAAAGATGGGCACACATTAAGGACAGGTAGGCATATTTCTAGATTCGAAAAAGTATTGATCTCTGGGCCCCAGACCTTGAGATTCTTGTTTTATATTTGGGGAAGCCTAAGTATATGGATTTTTAATAAAACTCTCTTGATGGTTTAAAATATAGAGTCAGAATTGAGAAACACTAATGCAACTCAATATTACTGGAAATGTTTATGAATAACAGTTAAACATTGTCTGATACAGTGCTAGAAGATGAGCCCCTCAGTTTGGAAAGCACTCAAAATATGACTGGGAAAGAACTGCCTGCTCAAAACAGAGTTGATATTAATGGTATGGACGGCATAAAGCTTTTGGAATTTTCATTTGTTGATGGAGATACAACTCAACATGGGAAGAAACAGCTTCAAACATTCATTAATAATCAGAATGTGGAATGCATGAAATATGAATCTAGGAAATTTGGAAGTTGTCAAAAATGAAATATAACACATGAAAATCAGTATCCTAGGCATTAGTGGCTAAGCTCTGGTAGCATAGTGGCTAAAGCACTTGACTGCTAACCAGAAGGCTGGCTGTTCAAACCCACTAGCCACTCCTCGGAAGGAAGGTTGGGCAATCCTACTTCCATAGTGATACTGCCTCGGAAACCCAAGGAGGGGTCGCTATGAGTTGGGGCCGACTCGACGGCACATAACAACAACAACAACAACAGGCATTAGTGAGCTGAAATGGACTGATAATGGCCATTTTGAATCACACAGTCATATGATGTACTGTGTTCAACAAATTTCAGGAGAATAGGGTCACATTCATCCTCCAAAAGAAAGTTTCAAGATCTCTCCTGAAGTACAATGCTATCAGTGATAGGATAACATCCATACAAGGAAGACCAGTTAATACTGTTATTATGCAAATTTATACATCAATCACTAAATCCAAAGATGAAGAAATTGAAGATTTTTATCAACTTTTGCAATATAAAATTGACCAAACATACAGCCATGATGTATTGGTAATTGCTAGTGATTGGAATGTGAAAGTTGAAAACATAGAAGAAGCATCCTAGCTTT